CTCCTCAGCCGCTTTCCAGGGGCTGCCGCTATTCAAAGAAAACCAGAGCCCGGCGCGGGGGGCAGCTGCAGAGGAAGGCCGCTCGGTGATCCTCGCTCTCGCCCGCTCACACGCGTGCACTCACACGCACGCTCGCGGGCGCGCACTCACGCTCACGCAACCGCACTCACGCTGTACACCATTTACTGTTGTCCATAGGTCAGTATTTCCACCATACCCAAAACATTTATTTCTCCAAAACTATTGCTAATGACAATGGATACATTTTGTTGCCCCGGTATGGATTTAACATTTCCAACACGTATACTCCTAATACTGTACAATACTGTACCAAAAGGAAAAAAAAGGGGGGGGGGATTTGCCTCCATATTGTACAGAGTTATATATACAAAGTACAATTTTACACAGTTTAATATATACACCATATATATAGGTGTAGAAGACATGAAACAATGGAAACTGTTTGAGCAAGAGCATTCCATCCCACCGTTAACACCTGCTGTTAATAAAAAAGAAAAATCCAATGCACCGTACGAGCCCGAGCCCGCTATCGCGGGACTAAGGTTTCAACCTAACAACAAATAAAGATTTCTAGACTTTGCAATTGAACTTTCTTACGTTACAGTAGGACCGTGACATCACTGCTGTTCTTTAAAACGCGTCAGAGATGGTCTCAACGACTGCCCTGTTTTGGCTACATAGAGCTGGTCTTTCGAAGACCGTGCTGCTTACAAGTATTGCTCCAGCAGTTTGGCACACTCACGAGTCCAACTCCATTGGACTTAATTTACTCAAATTGCAGCACTCTGCCTGGAAAGAAAGGCTGGTGAAGTCCACTTCAGAAGTACAGTTACTATAGTGCCTCTGAAACGAAGGGTCCATCTGTAATTTCCATTGCACACCGCTAAGTATTTACCCTGCGTGAAGGTTGGTGGATCAAGTACTAGCACAGTGGGGAGCTGCTGTCCCTCTCTGCTTTCACCCCTTTTTGGCCCATCTTTGACGAGCAAAACTCTGTTGTCTCAAACTACGTTATAGGAAGCACAAAACATGTAACGGATACGCTTTGAACTGCTGTTTTGGCATCTCGAGATCCACCAAAACAGGACCCGAGAACCAAGCCTGGAAAACAACCCCTCTGCCTCCTGGCACTGGTGCTAAGGGAGCAGGCAGAGGCGAACGCTTAAGAGC